AAAAAAAAAAAAAATCCCTGGAATGTCCTTCTGGGGAAGAATGCCCTCTGTGGCCGCTTCCTGTCCGTGACAGCAGTCCTGACACCTGTGCAGTGTCCGGTCACCTGGGCTGCCCACTAGACTCAGGAGGGGAGTCACCTGATCTTGTTGGGACTCACTGCCATGCACCCTTCAGTTTGGAACAGGAACTGGCCACGGGGGAAAGACATGTCCCAAATTATGAGCCACAGAAGACAGCTGCAATGTTTTAAACCATGCTTTGCAATTTTAGTCCAAAAGAAGTGAAACCTCATAAGGCCCAATGTAGGGACCCGCCCAAATAGAACGTCCTGCCTAGGAAAAAATGAATGCACCAATCCCTATCGCTCTGAACTCATATTCCCATCCACCTTAACCCACGTGCTGACTCCTTTCTCAGACTCAGCTCGCTCACACCCGAGTGGAATCAAGGCTGCATTTCCCACACAGAACCTGGACTCTGATTCCTTTCGTTCACGTCTCGGGATAATTTACTTTTGGTCCTTAACCTCTCAAACCTACTAGCGCCAGACAGCGCCGCCGACCTCCAGGAGGCGGAGGCAGCTCTCCACAGAGCCCTGTGCTGTAATCTCCTGCAGAAGAACAGCCGGAAGAAAACTTGGCCTCACCTGGAAGGGCGGTTGCCCTGTGCGCACAGCGAGACCTCACAGTGGGCTCTGGTGCCTGGCGCCAGGCCCTGCAGGGAATGCTGGGTGGCCGGGGAGGGGTGGCCGCTCTGGATCCCCATGGCCAGATATGTTGACCTAAAGGAAAAAACTGAGGAGAAATTATTGTAAGTAGAGAGTATTTGGGCCAAGTTGACCCAAACTCTCAAGTTAATTTTACATCAGTTTTTTTCCATTAGGTCGACACTTCTCAGGAGAGCAAAACAAAATTACACAGACGATCCGGAATTAAGCCCCTGACACCTGGCAACGCTGAACCACAGCAGCAGCTGCCAGTGTCCTGAGGTGGGTGGGCGGACGGCAGCAAGTGTCTGGGAGGGTGCGGCATGCCGGGGGCCCTAGGAGAGACAAGCAGGGTGGAGTAGGGGGCGGGCAGGTGCGGCTGTAGGGGCGGGGCCCGCTCACAGGTGGGTGTGAGGACTTGAGTTCTTAGAGCAGAGATTGGGGACCTTCTTTCCTGCTCCTGATTGGGCCAGCAAGGGGAGGAGCCTCCTTCTCCCCCGAACCCCAACCTCAGAGTAGAGTGAGGTCAGGGTCCAGCCTCTGCTGACCCCAAGGTGACCTCTGCTCTGCTGTCCACAGCCAGGCCCCAGAACAGAGGTGGTGGGGAGTCCCCATTTCTGCGGCTACAGAAGCCCATCCTACTTGCTGACCTGACCTCTCCTTTCAGTCCTGAGGCCTCCACAGCCATGTGACTCCTCCCGGGGCTTTCATGGCCTGGTGGGGCCTGCACCCCACCCCCTGGGCCCCAGGAGCCTGAACACTCCATAAAGAATTTGGGAGTGGGGAGGGATCAGCCACACTCTGCTCATTAAGGGGCAGGGCTGGAGCCTGGGGACAGACATCTGGAAGGTCTGGGAGTCTAAAAACACTTCTAGGTGAATCTTTGGGGAGCCTAGAGCCCTCTTCCCTTCCCCAAAAGGGGAAGACTGCACAAATCCTCGGAGGTCCCATGCCATTCTCCTGTTTCCCCCTCGGTGAGGGGTGCTACCTGCCTATCCCAGGGGAAGCTGTGCTAGAAGCTGCAGGTCAGCCCCAGGTTGGCATCAGGGGCTCATATTACAGGTGAGCACGTTTGGCCCAGAGCTGTCTGTCCTGCTGAGGCAGGAGGATCACTTGAGACTAGGAGGACACCCCGTCTCTATGAAAAACAGAAAAACTATTGGGGCACGGTGGTGCCTGTAATCGCAGCTACTCCGGAGGCTGAGCAGGAGGATTGCTTGAGTCTAGGAGTTCAAAGATGCCATGAGCTATGGTCATGCCAGGAAATGGGGAGGAAAAAGGGAGCAATTCAAGGCCCACTGCACCACTTAACAGGAGTTCAGGAGAGGAAGGGAGGGGAAGAAATAGCAGTGAAGTAACAATTTCTCTCAGCTAAGAGACAAGACTCCAGATTCGACCTGCTCAGCACACTGAACCAATGCAAAAAGGGCTAAAAACACATCCATGGAACCTTCCAGAGACCTGCTGCAGGCAGATTGGGGGGGGGGTGTAGGCACCCACATCTGAGAGCCCACCCTCCTCTCAATCTCCTCTGCAACACTGATCCAGGCGTGAAAAGAACAAAGTTCACTCTTCTAGGGCTGCCAGGAAGGAACTGCTAACAGAGGCAGGCACTCCAGCATCTCCCAGGGACAGAGTCTACAGAGGCGAGGAGGGAGTGGGTTTGGGCCCAGAGAGCTGTCAGAGGCATTTTCAGACACTTTTCTGCAGGGTGACCTGAAAGCAGGCAGCAGGAGAAGAGGGCACAGGGTCTGGGGGAAGTTGGCTCAGAGTTACAAGTATGAAGGGTGAACAGCAGGAATGCCCAGCTGGCAGGCAGGAGGGTGAGGGTCTGAGATGAAGGGGCAACCAGATGCTGGAGAATGTACAGCTAAGGCAGAAGTAGGGAAAAGGAACAGGGTGGACACGAAGTCCAGGAAAGCAGGTGTCTGGGGTAAGAGACATTCCCAGGTCACTGGCCATACCATAAACAGCACCTCCCAGCAGACACTAGGATGCTCTGTGACTCAGCCTCAGTCACCGTGGGAGCTGCCCCATGACTCTGGGGCATCATGGGGCAAGCATCAAGCCAAACTCCTTACAGAGTTGCCTGTGCTGGCTCTGTCCCCACCTGTCCTCCCAGGAAGCCCATCAGGCCTTCCCCAGCCCTGATGGACCCACAGGCCTGCTTCTGAGTTCTTCACAGGCCACCTGCTGCTGGGTTTGCACTGCAGGGAGCTTCTGGGGAGCACTCTGCTCCCCCAGGAGCCATGAGTCAGGACAGCCAGGGGTCTGGAGGGTGGTGGAGGAAGGCAAAATGGCAGGACCATGGTGTCAGACCCCAACAGTCAGAAGAGGTGGGGGCTGGTGATCTAAAGTTCTCTGGGGCAGTGGGCTGGGGATATCTGGCCCTACCTGCCCAAGATAGCAGCACTTGTGCTGTGGCAGTGACAGCCAGGGAGCTGAAGCCACACAGAGACCAATTGTCTTGCTCACGTGAATGGCAGTCACTTCTAGTTCTTTGTGCTACTGTTCCTGGATGTTTCTAATAGTGCACATGCATCACTTTGATAAAAAGTTCTAATTGTACTTTAAAAACACACACACAGAAAGGATGAAGGGGCTGGGTGCAGCGCTTCATGCCAGTTATCCTGGTACTCTGGGAGGCTGAGGTGGGTGGATCCCTTGAGCTCAGGAGTTCAAGACCACCCTGAGAAAGAGCCAGACCCCACCTCTACTAAAAGTAGAAAAAATAGTCAGACGTTGAGGTGGTGCCTATAGTCCAAGCTTCTCAGGAGGTTGAGGCATGAGGATCACTTTGACCCAAGAGTTTGAGATCTGTGAGCTATGACGCCACAGCACTCTACCCCCCAAACAAAATCAGACTCCATCTCAGAAAGAAAAGAATGGAGGAAGATGCTGCCTGTTTCATCCTGAGGTCACCTGCTGGGCACTGGGTGCAAAGGCCAGCTCCCCATGTGTGTGTGGGGGGGCTAGGAACCACGCAAAGGGCTAAGGCTGGAGAGAGGTGGGCCTAGCCCTCCCTATGGCAGCAGCCACAGGCTGTGTAGAGCTGTGTAGATTGCAGCTCAGCCCCCAGGGACCCAATTCCGTGTAGAGGGCTTAGGGAGCTCAGCTCTGGGGCACCAGGCCAGGCCAGTGTCCCTAGGCAGCCAATGCTTGGGCCCCTGGAAGGTAGGCTTGCTCAACACGTATGGCCTGTGCATGTAGGCCCTGGGGTGATTAGGGACGTGTGTATCTACACACTCAGCTCTGGTGTGGGACAGGTGCTGAGGGGGGCCACCACTCACACAGAACTGGGAAAAACAAGGCCCAGAAAGGGGCCCAACCAACCCCGGGCTCCTGGGGTGACGCAGGGGGCTCTGGTGTCCAGAGCAGGGAGACAGGAAAACAGGCATGCTGTCCTGGCATTTATTGACAGGGGGCAGTGCTGGTGAGGGTCCTCAGCGCCCAGTTGGCCAACAGGCACACAGGGCCCGGCGCTCAGCTTGTAGCAGGAGAGTCTCTGTCTGTAAAGCAACAAGAGACCATTAGAGTGTGGCATGGCTGCCCCCTGGCCCTCTCCCCCAGGACCACCACCTGCTCCAACAGGGCCTGCTGAGGCTGACACCATACTGGGATGACTGCCATGCCTTCTTCAAGCCCACTCCCTCTCTCAGGGCACACCATCTGTCAACACCCCCTGTGGAATCCCCAAGGAGAGGTGGGGGGGTCTGTTCTCCAAGACCCAGCTCCAGGTTCAAGGGTGAAGCAAGGGCTCCAGGTCAGCCTGGGTCCTTTGGAGCTGTCCAGAGAAGAATAGCAAGACTGGGAAGGGGTGGGTCCTTACTGAACACTCCTCCCTCTAGGAAGAAGTACAAGCTTCTGCCACCGAGAAAAACTCAGTTTCAGTCATTGTGCACCTACACGCCTCCCCCATCCCTCATGTTCCAGCCACACCCTCTTTTTCCTCTTCAATTTCTTCTCCAAGCCCTGGGCCTCACCCCCAACCTGGGGAATTCTGGACTGGGCTGTGGGTCCCTTCCGAGGACACAACGCCCAGACCAAGGGTGAAAGGATCACAGGACTGGGAGGCAGAGGAGCAAGAAAGCATGTTAAACGTGGAGTGTGTCTACAGCGTCCAGAGAGGCTCCCCACAAACAGGGATAGATGATTAGGGAAGTGCCAGGGTATCCCCTAACTGCTGGCTCTACATAACGCAAATCAGCCTCCTGTGCACCCATCCCAAGACCGAGTGAAGCCTAGGACCACCCTGGGGCTGCGGTGGGCTCACCCGCGCGTCCAGGCTGTAGGCCGTCTTCCGCAGGTCCTGCAGGGCTCGCTGCATGAACTCGAACGCGTGACAGTCAACGCAAGGGCGGCCTGTGCGGGGAGGTCAGGGCGGGAGTCTTCGGGGCAGTCCCGCCAGGAAGGGCCCTGTATTCCCTACCCACACCCATTCTGCCAAGATTGGGCCTCACTCCTCACCCCGCCATCTCCCGCCGAGGGCAACACCCGCTTCGGGAACAAAGGACAGGCACGGCCAGTACGCATCCCCTCACCCCCACCCGAGGTTGTCGCCCGGCGGCACCTACTCTGCGCAGGGACAGCACTCCCGGTGGCGGGCTCGGCGCGGACCCGGGTGCCCAGCAGCGCCAAGCTCAGCAGCAGCAGCAGCGGTGGTGCCGGCGACATCGGGAACCTGAGCGCTGGCGGAGGGGCCATGGCCGAGGAAGCCCGGGCCGCCCTGCATCAGGCAGGAGGGGGTCAACGGAGCCAGCCGCGCCCCCGGCCCCACCCACTCGCAGGACCGCCACCTCCGCCCCACCCCCCAGGCCCGCGCCCCATCCCATCCCCCACTCCCAGGATGGCGAAGTGCAGCCCACTCCCCACTCTCTGGGCCCGCGACCCCCGCCCCACCCACTCCCAGGGCCGCGGATCCCGGCCCTATTCCACGGACCTGCGACCCCAGCTCTCCCCCAGAATGACAAGAATCCCCACCTGGACGTCCCCATCCCCGCCCTACCACAGTTCAGGGACCCCGAGACCAGTAGCTGGGGCGACTCGGGACCACGGTCCGCGTGCGCCGCGCATCACGCATGCGCCCCGACCCCTATAGCGCCCCCACCTGACGTAGTCGTCATGGAAACCCGGAGACTGCGCTACCCTCCAGCTTGAAAGGATTCAGGGGTCTCCGAGACTTCCACAGGCGGTCCCCGGAAGTAGCGTCCGGGCTGCAGCGGGTGGAATCTAAGGGCTGCATGGAGGCTGCATCAGGCGGGAACAAAGCCGGAGCAGCGGGAAACGCGGGGTCTGCCCCGAGGGACGAGGCGACAGACGAGCAGGCGAGGGTGCGGGTACTGCGGGCGCGCGCACGCCAGGGCGGGGTCGGGCCGCTGGGGAGGTCGGGGTGCTCTAGGGTCCTCTCTCTGCCGTTCTCACCCTGGGACAGCCCCGCCTTGGCCCACGGCATGGGGGAGGGAACCCCCAGCCTTTCGGTTTCTCCGCGTCGCCCCCTCCTCTTGGAAGCGAACGCTTCTGGGTGAGCTCGGCGTTGTGCCACTTACGGAGCCTCGCGTGGCCAGGGGACCCCGGGGGCGCCTCACGGCCGCGCCGTCTGGGAGGTATGGTTTCCACTGGCCGCCGGAGCCCGGGTCCGGTCCCACTGCAGACGCCGTGATATCGGGAGAAGGCGCCCAGGCCCACATGAGTGTCCGCGTCCTCCACGGGTGGCGCACCTGGCCGCGGGCCAGGTCCCCTTCCCAGTGGGTGAGGCCGAGCCTGGGTTCCCCCCCAGCCAGCTGCCCTCTCCCTCGCACCTCCCAGGCACCACGTGGTGACGTCTGGGCGCCCACTTCTGCGGTCAGAGTGGCCGGAAGTGGGTGTCCTGACCGTGAGCGGGAGCGGGAAGCCAGGTGTGTGTGTGGGGGGGTGATCGTGTCTGTCCCTCTCTGCGGGGCAGACGCTGGAATTCAGGAACCCAGTCGCTTTACGGGTCCCCTGTGTCCCAGGGGGATCCCAGGTTCTGCGCCCTCGGAGAGCCCCTGCAGTTCACTTGTGTGGCGCGCCTGTACATTTCTGCTCTCCTGGAGCTTGGGGTCAAGCGGACACGGTCACTCCAGCCTTGGGTGACAGATGACAGAGCAGATTCTGTCTCAAAAAACAGTCTGTGAGTTGTGGTGCTCTTGGGGAGCAACCCGAGGGCCCAGGGCCGTGCCAGAGCAGCCCCATGCCCTCTAGTCAAAGTATCTTCTCGTGGTGCGATGGCACCTACAGTCCTAGCTATTTGGGATGCCCAGGTGGGAGGACCTTTGAGCGCAGGAGTTCCAGGCTGCAGTGAGCTGTGGTCATACCATTACACTCCAGCCTGGCCTGCAGATTAAGGCCCTGGGGTGGCCACCCTTTTCTGTGCCTGCACAGGTCCAAGTCCCTGGACCCTCATAGTGCATCCCACACCCACACGTGTGCGCGTTCTGGATGCTGCTGATGCCAGAGGGAGCAAAGACAGGTGCAAACCTGCCTTCACTGGGCTAGCTGCTCAGTAAGAAGACAGACCAGGCACTCTCTACCACAGCACAGGGACATGGACCAACCAGGTCATTCTTTGTGGGGCCATTCTGCACACTCCCTCGCATGTACCTACTAATGCCAGTAGTCCCAGATCTGACACCAGCCTGAGCTAGAGCAAGACCCCATCTCTAAAAATAGCCAGGCGTTGTGGCTGCCACCTGTAGTCCCAGCCACTTGAGAGGATGAGGCAAGAGAATCTCTTAAGTCCAAGAGTTGGAGAGGGCAAGGGGTGTGGTGAGTGTTTGGATGTGGGGCTGGGGGGGACGCAGGAAAGGAGGAGCTGGGCCAGTTACTGAGCCATCTTTGCAGATGAGAAATGCAGTAGTCACTCTGAGTGAAACTCAAGATGTCAGCTGGTTTTAAACTGCTGAGCTCAAGGGATCCTCCTTCCTCGGCCTCCCAGAGTGCTGGGATTACAGGTGGGAGCCACCTCCTTGGCCTTTCCTCAGGGTAGTGGTGGTTGTTGCTGCTGCTTTTTCACACAGTGACTCCATTTGGTTCTAGTCACTTTCATATTTCCACCTTTGGGTTAAGAACTTTCTCCAAAAACATCACTGATCACCTATCCTGAAGTTAGGTTTTGATTGTCCCTTGGTTCTGGGATGAACCTGTCGTGAGTTGCTGGTGCAGCCTATGTTAGAAGGAGGGATTGGAAGCTAGAAGCCACAAAAGGTGTGAAAACTCTTTTACCCACACTTGAGTAATGAGGGTTGGAGGGAGTGGCAGTCAGAAAAATAGCCGGGTGTTGTGGCTGTCACCTGAAGCCCAATTTAGGTTCAATTTTGTCTGTTCAGCAGGTATTGGCTGTTATCTCAAAGTGCTGGGCCAGCCTTATTCTGTTAGGAATTGTATTTCTGCAGATATTTAGCAGGTAACAGGTAAAAAGTTTAAGAAGAAAAATACAAAGTAAAATGATAATCTCAGTTTGCATAATAGTTTTGAGCTACGAACCTAGGCTTAAAGGTAACCAATTTTTTTTTTTTTTTGGTAGAGATGAGGTCTTATGATGATGTCCAGGCTGCTCTCAAATTCCAGGCCTCAAGCAATCCTCCCACCTGGGCCTGCCAAAGATGTGGGATTAGAAGTGTGAGCCACTGTGCCTGGCCCCAGTCATTTCACTTAAGAGAGATAACCACTTAAGGACGATAACCAATGGTGCAAGATTCTTTCTCACACAAAATTGTCCTCTTTTTTTTTTTTTTTAGCTTTCTTATGAAAAATACATCTTAATACCCCTAACTTTCTTCATATCTCTTTCTCTCTCATACTGATTCTTTTGTATCTTGTTTCTATTCTTTTTAAATCCATATTTTGAAATAACCTTTAAATAACTCTGAATTAGACAAAAGTTTTATTTTACCAATAAATAACAAATTTTTATGCCTCTCTTATAATTTTAGCACACCTTGGAAATGACCTAGGCATTTCATTTAATTAAACATGAGTTTAGGCTCGGC